ATTCCTATATTGTAGCTATCTATTAATAATTCTAAAATCCTAAGGTTTTTGTATATATATATATATATATATATATATATATATATATATATATATATATATATATATATATATATATATATATATATATATATATATATATATATATATATATATATATATATATAGTTGTAATAGTTAATGTCGAGCGCTTTTAACATGAGCCTGGCTCGGAAGATTGGGCGACCACTTCCTGCGTTTTTTGACTTTAAATAAATCATTATCATTAACTCTGAGTGCATTATGTTACCGAAGTTTTTGAGTCAGAGAATTTTTTGCAGTGCTCATCAGTCTTGTTGCTAAGGCATGCAAGTGTTCTTTAAGGCCGATTCACACAATCTACAAAACTTTTGCCTGAAAAGTGGCGTGCTGGGTACTATTTTTCTGGGGGGCCAGTGAGCTATCAACCAATATGCGCCCCTATAATGTAACGCTTGATAAACGAGGGCCGAAGGCACGAGCCGAGCGCCGCAGGTGCGAGGTGTTCCTAGGGGGTCCAGGGGCATGCCCCCCCCCCCCCCCCGATTTCAGAGACTCTAAATTTTTAAATTTAGAGTCTCTGAAATGCCATTTCCTGGACTTTGGGGGAAGATTTGACAGAAATCTGATGGTCATGCAGGAAACGAGATTATAACGTGTCGAAATTTGCAATTTGGTTAGAATTTTGAAGTAGTACTCAAATTAGTACGGTATCAGTTTTACTATAAATCTTTATTTTAGATTAATTATGGTGGAATAAAGTCACTCGTTGAGTATATTTGTATAAAATATTTTAATTTATATTAAACGCCGATCTCACTAATAACTTGTAATGTTTTACTAAAAAGTGTGCTTGCACTTTATTGATACGAATCTGTCATGTTTTTTGTCAAAACATACAAAAAGAGTTATATTAATACTTATACAGTATATCACTTGGTAGTTAGTACTATATATCACATGTTGTATCGAATGTTGATAACGTAAATGTTGAATCGCATGCATGCAATTAACCTGCTTACAACTTGAGTTGTACTGTGTAAATCAAGCACACAACTCATCTACGACAACGTAGGAGAGTTGTCACTTGTGTGCTTTATTTAAAGCAGGTTGGTGCTTTACTCAAAATCTCGAGTCAGAATTTTTTGCAGTGGACGTCTTCAATATCCCCCATACGTCCTAATGTTCTATTTAATACAAGTTCGTGATGCAATTGAGTTTCTGGATTTAATACAATTAGCAAACATAATTTATTTGACAGGAAATGAATTTCATTGGTCGTTTGCGTTTACATTTTCTCCTTGTTCTCTTGAGTATTTCGGCGGCAAGCGCCTCGGGCTTTGCCTCTTGCACTTCATCCTCGTTCTCGAGATCTATTGGTTATATTCTGTATGGATTTCTACTGGGGGAGGTCGAAGTCGGTGATATCATGGAATGTAAGAAAAGATGCATCATCAGCGTTAACTGTGTATCTGTGAATATTCTCGCAAACGCTGATGGACGGTTTGTGTGCCAGTTGAACAGCGGGCGCAAGGAAGATGGTGTCAGCGTGCAGTTTGTACAGCACGGAGCTGGAGAATATTATGGTTTGAAGGTAAAGGCCGCACTGTAAAGTATTTAAAAAGTTTTTTATCTTTACTGAAAATTTTATAATTTCTAAACCGTTCTCCCTAAAGGTCGAGTAAGCTTATGTCGTATTGATCCACTGTTGCCACAAGAGAAAACCAAAAAATAATTCCTCATTGATCCAGTTTTAAACCTACAGCTGGAAGCCTATAAAGATTCGATTGAACCAATCTATTGTTTAGCTAGCTACGTTAGCAGTCTTAACTAATTTCCAGTACATGTTATTTCAAATATTTTTTGTTGAATGTTACTGCAGAAAGAAACCTTTATGAAATATTCCACCTTTATTTAACCCCTAATCTCATTTGGCCCCTTGTTTCTCATTACTTTCAGGAAAAGAAACTGTGCAATAATTATGGCAAAACCTGTGACAATGGTAAACTAATATTATTGTTTTGTTTTGAGGAAAACAGCGCGGTTGGTCGTAAATTAGGCTTACGGATTGAAATGTCTGCAAAATTGATAATTGGCATTGCATAGTATCTCCATACATCTCAATGCTAAACGAAATTAATTAAATAAATATATCTTTCTTCTCTTCTCAAAGTTAGTGGTACGCATTTCAATATGTACATGATCGACCAACAGTATTTCCAACCTTGTTGGAGTGCGGCTGAGAAGCCGCATTGTTTTTCTGGTCTGTTCATCTTTTGGAAAATATAGCTAAGAAATGGTGTTTCCTAGTTTGTTCACCTTGGGTATCCTGGTTTTCCTACCTTCGGGAAACACGGCTAGGACACATTAGGGCCATTTATACGAGACAAAATAAGACGCGACTTACATAAGACGCGACTTAAATAAGACGCGACTTAAATAAGACGCGAGTTTGTCGTATAAAAGGCACAAAATTCTTATGTAAGACGCGTCTTGGATAAGACGCGTCTTACATAAGAACAGGACTTTTAGCTGTTCTTATTTAAGTCGCGTCTTAAATAAGATATTTTAGACAAAAATTCTAACTACACATGTCCGAAACTTGAAACAACGTAAAATTATTAGTCTTGCATATTAAAACAAAAACAACCGAAACAACATTATAGCTATCGCAAGTAAATAAGGCTGCGTCCAGACTGGGTGCCCGGCACTGGTGCCCGGCACTTGTTTTGGCTCCCAGTTTGAACACGACGCTTTCAAATGAAATTGGGCACAGTGCCCAAGAACGGGCACTACCTCTAGAGGTAGTACTCAACAACGGCACTGTGCTCAACATGTTTTGTGAACCATTTTGAACATTGGGCACCAGTGCCGGGCACTCAGTCTGAACGAGCCCTAAGAATAAAGCCGTAGAGAACCATTTATGCGATAACTCCACTTATTTAAGTCGCGTCTTATGTAAGTCGCGTCTTATTTTGTCTCGTATAAATGGCCCTATTGTCTCAATGGTCCAATGGTCATTGTGTACCTTTAGGAAACATGGCTGGAAACAATGTTTCCTGGTGTGCCTATACCTTTGGGAAATTCGGCCAGGACTGCAGGACACAATATGTCCTGGTTTACCCAACTTTGGAAAGTATGGCTTGTTTCCGGCGTGGTTTGCTAATTACCTTGAGCAAACATGGACACACATTTCCTGGTTTGCCCTCCACCAGGAAACATTCCTACAGGAAACAATGCACGTATCCTGGTTTTATACCCATCTTTAGCACACATGGCTAGGAAACAATGTCGACTTGCTTGGCCACCGTTAGGAACCAATGTTTACTGTTTTGCCCAGCTTGATTTATCGGCGGGATAGTAATTTTTTCAACCATTGTTAAGATGCTCGTAATGCCATCAAACTACGGATATGGACAGTTAATAAAAAGATCTTCAAAAACTCATTAATAATTCATGAGGAAAATACAAAGAAAAATCATAAGCGTGTCGCATCTTTAAGTCTGGTTCACACTGGTCGTAATTCATCGGCGATCTATTGTATTCTTTTCCGACAGACAAAGCATTTTACACACCAATGACCCCAGACAATGGAAATCCTCGATTCTTACGACCAGTGTGAACCAGGCATAATATGTGATAGAGATTTCCCTTGATTTACATAAATTTTAACTTTGATTTTCTCGACTACCACAACGTATTTTTTGAAAATTACTTCGCCAATGAACTTACTAGATCGATTGTTTTTGAAGCAATTTAAAATACACTCGCAGTACGTGTTTTATCAAACCTAAAGATAGTCGGCTTCGCCTCGTATCTTTATATCTGATAAATCACTGCTGCTCATGTTTTAAAAAATAGTACTTATATAGTGTTGTTGTTTTTCTTCCCACAGCAAGCCCGTGGTATGCCTTCAATCAAACCTACTTCCAGTATGTGAGAACTGGACTCTTGCATTCTGAGGCAAAAGAATATTGTAAGGAACAAAATGGCGGTCTTGTTTCCATCTCGAGTGAAGAAGAACAAACCTTTTTGCATAAAACGTTAATTGATCCTGACACTGCAGGTCAGTATATTGAACGTCGAGAAATTAAGTCGAAGACTAGGAAAGAAAGATTTGAAAACAGATTATAAAGACAGGTGTACTGATTTTGATAATATTTCAGCGTTTTTGAGTTTAGCTAAGCTCAAGGTTTGAGTTCCCTCTACACACGTAAAAATCTCACAACTTTTTTAACAAGATGTGTTAATTCGCAACAGGCTTGTAGCAAGCTTGTAAACAAGTTGTAACAATGTTGTTATTTCATCAAGTTGCTCAGTACAAGATTGTCACTCACAACTTGTTGACAAGTTGTTGAATTGCAGGACGACAACAACTTGTATAACAAGTCTGTTGAGGTCAACAAGCTTGTATAGCAAGTATAGTCAACAAGCCGTTGACAACTTGTCAACAAGCTGGGAACAAGCAGTGCGAACACATCCTGTTGACAAGTTGTTGGAACAGAATTGCGCTACCATCTGCTGCAGGTTTGTTACAACCTGTGCGATTTTACATCTGTAGTTTATCAATTATGACTTATTTACTGAGACCGAGGGAAACAGTGTGTTTTGTGGACCCGAGACCGTCGATGTTTCCCGAGACGAAGCCGAGGGAAACATCGACGGTCGAGGGTCCACAAAACACACTGCTTTCCCGAGGTCTCAGTAAATCAGTGTTTTATTATATATCAATAGTCAAAGAAACAACAAATCAAAGAACAAATGAACGTAAATACATGAAATATTTTATTGTTAAAACGTTATATTAAACACTGGCTACACTACAGTTACTTAAAGCGAAAGTTTTATTTACGTACTAGGCATGTCCAAAGGTCGCATCTTCACATGATGGCGCACGTGGTTTTTTTTGTTATTCGCCGGTCGATAACGTAGCTATAAGAGAGGTTAAGATACCCCGATTCCGGTTTACGGGTACGGGTGATATACACGTACCCGTACCCGTAAATCGGGGAATAACTTGTAACTTAAGAAATCCAAGATACTCCAGCGTGAGAAAACCGATCAGGGAACAGTGGCGTGCTGGCAGGGGGGGGGGGCCGGCCCCCAGCTGGCAATTTTTGGGGGGCGCAAAAATGAAAAGGGGGCGCCGATCCCGCGCCGAATTTTGAAAGTAGGTGGGAAGAAACGCATTCGAAAAAATATAGTTACTAATTCCGCCAAGGAAAAATGTATTTATAGACTTATGAACATAATAAGCGCATAGGCGACAAAGTGAGTATATTAAATTGCAGACTATTTTGTCTAACCGTATTTGCTACCTCACGACTCACACGAAATCACTCGTTCATATAGAATACATGATCAGTGATCACACGCAATGTCTCATTACCGGAATATTGATCAGGCTTCGAAGCGATCACGGGAATTATGCCCTTTTTTGCTGGTATTATACCCTTTTATTATGCCCTTTATTATGCTTCACGAATCACGAGAGCGGCGCAAATTAGATAGTTGAAGTTATGATAATGTAAAGTTGTGTACGCAATTTAGTTGTTTGCGCAAGAAACATTATGAGTAATGTAAGTAATGAGATAATGATGAAACACGCCCTTTTAGCAGGAAAGGAAACCTTAAAATGCATATGCGTTGGGTCTGTGTGTTATCGTATAAAAGAGCTGTAAGTTGTAAATGTATTCAGATCAGTAGAGAATAGAAATGGGATTAGATTAATTGCTGGAAGTAGTTAGCATTGCCCAATTTAAGTGCTACTACTAAATTCTAACCAATTTTAAAATTTCGACACGTTGTAATGCCGTTCCTGACCATCAGATTTCTGTCAAATCTTCCCCCAAAGTCCAGGAAATGGCAGTTCAGAGACTCTAAATTCAAAAATTTTCCTGGG